CTCTATATCAAAGAAGAAAAAAACACTGAAATAATAAATGAAAAATGCCCCACAGGAATACAAAACATACATATAATGGCTGTATCAGTTCTATATATAAAAAAGCTCCTTGCATCAGCATTAATGAGGATATAGACAGAGATGTTGAGGAGAGGGAAAGGAGATGAGAGATGTTGTTACCAATATAGTAAATACACATTTTATGTAGTGTAGTGCCCTCAGTTTAACACCTCCTAGATTGCAATTGGTTTCACTTTGCTATCCAACTGTAAAAAGCTTTATATTTCCTGTTTAATTAAGGCATCAACTTTCAAGGGTCCTTTATCAAAACAAAAATGCAACAGAAAATGTTTTTATTGCATCAAACTTGTGATAAAACATTGTTTTAAAAAAAAAAAAAATGTGTTAATAATGTTCATGTGATGCATAAAGCTTAACCACATGCTGATAGGGATGGCATCTACATACATGCCATGCCCACTGTGTATCTAATTTAGTAATTGTTTTTACATATAATGATTTCCAATAACATTTTCTAGTTTCTAATACTGATGTTAGTAATGTCAATAACAATAGAGTAATTTTAATGCTTATAACAAAAATACCAGTATCAATATTGATAGCATTAATTTAAAAAAAAATGTTTTCCAACTATTTCAAGGAGAGGTGATGTAACCAGATCTACTAATTGACTCCTTTGTGGCTAAGCATTGGCAGAGCCATCTCTGTGCAGAAACATTTAACAAAACAATACAAAAGTGAATGAAAATACAGGTTTAAATCTAATGAATCGAAATTCATGACAGGACTTTATAATGCTTAATATTCTGGGGGGAGGAAAAGATGCATAATCAATAGAAGAGGTTGATGATCACCTGCAAGAGTTGGTGAAAGAAAAATAAGGGTTGATATGTGGAAAATTAGAAACACATATTGATGGCAACGCCCCCTTTTTGGGGGAGTGCCTGAAACATTTTTCAACATACACATATGCAGAAAGGCAGACACACACCCATAAAGACAGACATACACTCAGACACACACATGCACACACACATACACACGGGCACACACACAAACGTATGCACGCAAGCATACACAAACGTATGCACGCAAGCATACACACACACACACACACACACACACACACACACACACACACACACACACACACACACACACACACACACACATGAAACATAATAATAAATAAAAAAATAAATACATGGATAAACAAATAAAACATCTGTTGTATTTATATTTAACCAATCTGATCCGGAAGCCTCACTGCTATCACATGGACCAAAATACGGACATTGGCTAACTTCATTGGCTGGGCGTATGTGAACACTTGTGTGCAGCAACAGAATACCATGCCTCCCCATTGGCATATTCTTTTCTCTTTCTGTATGTGTTTTTGCTCTTTTTTTCCATTATCCAAAGTCTATATTTGTTATCTGATTTGCTAAATTTATCCAAATGGTAGTATACTGTTTTCCTTGCACAGACTCCATTTCATCTCTCCAGCTCAGTGCAATAATAATAATAATATATTATTTGTCATATTTCAATTTTTTCCTAAAATTCAATTTTCTGTAATACAAATTGTGCTGCCAGTCAAGGCAGGTAGAAATAGGATCCTGAGCATGGAAATAGTATCCAACCTGGAGCAGGCGCTCTTCCAATCATTGCTCACAGACGACAGACTACTCATTCATCAATGGAAATAATGTAAAATCACCTTCCTGAATACCTATTGAGTCATCACCCCAACCCTGAGCTGAAATTCTCATGATGGTCAGTTCCCATCACCCTGGCCCTCAGCCAAATTTTTCCATGATGGCATGGTCATGTCACCTGCCCTTCAAGCCCAATTTTTTCATGATGTGATGGTCATATCATCCGGATCATAGGGGATAAATATCAAAATGTACAAATACATAAATGAAATAAAACAAAATAAATAAATAACCCTCCCTACCTCTGTCGTCTCTCCTTCCACTAACTTCACCACCTTGGTCTGGGAGATGTTGAGCCACTTAGTGTGTACAAGGAAGTGGTCACGTGTCTCCGAGGTGGTTATATGGATTGTTACACGCCCTGAGAAGGTCTTGGTGATCAGGTCAGGATGGAGATACAGGTCGTAGTGGTCCGGGTGAGTAGAGTTGGGGAGGCGGAACTCGTCCTCCCAGGGCCGCCCTGACGAGGTCTTCAGTTTCTTCACTGTCTTCTCTACCATGATGGCTGGAAAATGTGTCAGCCATTAGTATAAGAAACAAAAGCTGAAAAGGTGCAAACATCTTCGTTTATTTTTTTGGTAATGCCAACTAAAATTATGTGAATTTAGAGATGCAATATCAAAACATGACTTATATACCTATCTGCCATCATGAAATTATCAATCCTTATACCTACTAATCTACTACAAACAACATTCTAGAATTAGAATACTTAAAAAAGTAAAACCACAAAAGAATCATGAATTATTCTAAGAGACAAGGCCAATTAGACTATTATGGAAGAACATAAGTGAATGATAATGAATTTGAATAAAGAAATATATAAAGAGCTTTTGATATTATTCATGGTGTGAAATCTGCAATATAGTACAGAAGAATTACAGCTAGTAAAATGGATTATGGTATCCACCTGATAAGCTAAATATATCTTATTAAACAGTTCACAATTCTGACATTTGGTCTTATTTGTAAAATCACATCCACTCCATTTGTCAGGTGATATAATTCTCTATGTTCTCTATCCATCTACTTGTCTTGTTAATTCACTATCAATCCAATAATATGACTGTTTTCTGGGAAAGGAATAAAATGAAACCGGTTCTAAGAATACATCAAAGTTGTAGGTCTTACACCCCATGCTACTGAAGTTGCAGTAACACACCAATAATCCTGCGCAGCTTACTCCCTCATCCTGCTGTTATTTCTACCTTCTCCCACACCTAATGGTACTCCAGTGAGAAGAGGTTGTTTTCTTACAGATATTATATAATGTTACAGAGCACGATATTCACGGCCTGGGAATACCTCACTTTTATCTGTTCTGATACAATGCCAAACAACACGAACAAAAAAAAAAAATCCTGATTGAATGCAACTGGTTCTCACTCTCACTTCTCTTTCACTCTCTCAACTCAAATCTCTCTCTCTTAACTCAAATTCTCTCTCTCATAACTCAAATTTTCTCTCTAACTTTTTTCTCTTCAACTCAAATTCTCTCTCTCAACTCTCAAATTTCTCTCCTCAACTCAAATTTTCTCTCTCAACTCAAATTTTCTCTCTCAACTCAAATTTTCTCTCAACTCAAATTTTCTCTCTCAACTCAAATTTTCTCTCTCAACTCAAATTTTCTCTCTCAACTCAAATTCTCTCTCTCAACTCAAATTTTCTCTCTCAACTCAAGATTTTTCTCTCTCAACTCAAATTTTTCTCTTCTACAACTCAAATTCTCTCTCTCAACTCAAATTCTCTCTCTCAACTCAAATTCTCTCTCTCAACTCAAATTCATTCTCTCTCTCAAACTCTCTCTCAACTCAATTCTCTCTCTCAACTTCAAAATTTCTTCAAATTCATCTCTCTCTTGTCTCTCTCTCTCTCTCTCTCTCTCTCTCTCTCTCTCTCTCTCTCTCTCTCTTCTCTCTCTCTTCTCTCATCTCTCATCTCTCTCTCTCTCTCTCCTAACTCCAAATAAATAATTGAAAGATGTCCAAGAAATTCATTATTTCATTTTTGTTTACAACAAAACAGGTATGCTATTGATGATCTAGAGTACACTTTAGAAGTACCTGTAAAATAAAGAGCTTTGTTAGTTTGAACCAGTGGACAATGCTATTTAAGCATCTGCTTATAATTTACTGCCATTCAACATAACACATGTCCAATAACAGTTTAAGATTGCACAAAACATTATCTTAAGGGATTATTTTTGTAGCTGCAAACCTGAATATAAGAAAATGATTTTTTTTCAATAAACATATTTCTAATCAAGGAAATACATTAAATAATCAAGGGCCCTCAATATATTTTACATTAAAACAAAAGAAGTTTCCACATCTTTACATTAGATCCCCAGCTTGATTAATATCAAAGTCATCCCTGATAAGCGATGACCCAAACTTCCAGCCTCATGTGTCTGACACCAGCAATACTGACTGATAGGCTGGGAATTAAACAGCTGATTCTGACAGATTTTGACCTTGGTGCTTCACAAGAAAGAATGGAATGAGAGAAAAAAGTGATTAACTGTAAATCTACACATAAAAATAAGTAGTTTTGACAAGAGTATGACTATATATATATGTATATATATATGATGTATATATATACATATATATACATACATACATACATACATACATACAAATAGAATTATATACATATATATATACTAATATATATATATATATATATATATATATATACTATAAGATATATATATACATATATGTATATATACACACTTACATATATACATACATTATATATACACACACCACACACCACACACATATATATATATATTATATATTTATATTATATATAATATATATATATATATATATATTATATCCATATATGAATATGAAAATATAAATACATATATACATATAATACTATATAATATATATATATATATATATATATATATATATATATATATAGATATATATATAATATATTAAGTATATTTAATTTATTACAATATATAATATTATAATATAATATACATAAATATAAATATATCAAATATAAATATATTTGAATTATATAAATATTATTCAAATATTTGAATGTGTATATAAGTATAGACATATAATATGCATATATACACTATACATATACATATATATAATAATATATATATATATATATATATATATATATATATTATATATATATTACACATTTAAATGTCTATATATGTATAGACATATTAATATGAATATAATACATTACATACATACATTACATCATATATATATTATATATAATATATAATGATATATATATTATATATATATATATATATATAATAATATAATTACGTATGTATGTATGTATTCATATTCATATTTATATGTTACTACTACATTATTAAAACATTTACAGTATGTGAATATATATATATGTGTATATATATTATATATACACACAATATTATATATATATATATATATATATTAATATATATATAATATATATATATAATATATATTATATATATATTTACTTAATATCTATATAATATGTATATATATGATAATATAATATATATATAATATATATATACTATATATATATATATTATATTATAGATATTAATATATTANAGAATGAGAATGAGTAAAAAGATAGCTGAGAGGAAGATTAAAAAAAAGGAGAAAGGAAAAGCAAGAGAAAGAAATATAGAGTTTAAAAATAAAACAAAATAAAATAAAAATACAGAGGGTATTAAACTACAATAACAGATAGGTATCATCTCTCATGAAAAATACTAGTGTTATCCTCATAGATCTAAAGTTATTGATTAATTCTTTTACAAATCTGCCTGTATCATTTCAATTGCGAATAACTATCGTCATCACTGCTTTTCTTGTTTCAAAGTTACTATGTACAATAAGATGTTCAGTATTTTATTTTGTATATTTTACACTAAATACACTGTTCATATAACAGTTTTCTTGGGTTGTCACTTACAAATAACAATATCACTGAACATGTAAGAAACTGACACTATGCAGTCTCCTTATTGTATCTCAAATAATTGTCAGCAAGAATCTGCTGCAATGCAATCAAGCTGCTATCTTATAACTAATAGGAAGATGTAAATAAAAGATAAAATACTTCTTCAGGAAGTTTACTTGTGTAATAGTGCTTGTACTGAACTGTTATACAGGCAAACCTTGTATATCATATCCCTAATGCATTTTCATTCACTTTTGGGTTATGAGGTGTGCCTGGTATTTCTTTTTACACTGTAACTTAAATCAATATATCATAGATATAGCTAAGAACTACCAGTAAGGATGCTTACATATATCACTTAAAAAAGATAATGTCTCATATATCAATTCATAAATAATATTCAAGATGGTAATGAGGATTATAACCAAACATAGAAATTACTTAATATCTCTCTGATAGAAACAAAAATCTTCTACAAAGCTTCCACACATCCTTCAACAATTAGGGAAACTCTCTGGTGAGTAAGAACAGTTCTGTAAGAGCTCGACACCAACACCAGTAGTGGAGGCGGTAGCAACACCAGCATTGTTGTCAGCTGCCTGGAATGATTCCTTCTCAAGAACTGCTGCAGCCTCAGCTGCAGTCGGGGTTATGTCTCTGTGGACTGCTATGATGTGCTTCTTGATGTTGCCCTTGAGCGCTGCACGGTGAGGGCAAAGCGGACACTGGTATGGCCTCTCTCCTGTGTGAGTGCGGACGTGGCGTCTCAGGTCCTGGCGGCTGGTGAAGCGCTTCTGGCACAGCACACATGGGTGAGTTCCACCTTCAACTTGTGCCCCTCTGGTGCCGCCAGCCATGCCAGCCGTCGCTCCACTGCCACACCTACTTCCAAACTGGCTTCGCCTATAACTGCCTCGCACATCCTAGAACATGCAATAAAGCACTTTTGAGCAGATGACCAAGGAATATATCAGAGAAGTCATCATAGCAACAACACATGTTGTGAAATGACAAGTTTAAACATTCATGCTTATGACACAAACTTAATCCTTAGTACTAGGTCCTGATATTGGATATCAAATCTATAATACCATGTGCTATCCACTTAGCCTTTTTTCCTTGAAGATATAACTTTTGTTCTAGGTTTTGGTGTGTGACTGTTAAGAGTTAAAACAACAACTGAGAATGTGTCATTCAGTCCCCAGAAAGATTAGTCTGTGTTTTATATTCTCTTTTATTTCTTTTATTTCAATCATTCATATATATATATATATTTTTTTTTTTTTTTTTTTTTTTTTTTTTACATTTTTTTGTAGACGGCCAGAAGCCTCAAAGCTTATCAAAATCTCCCTTACATCATTCAACGTGGAGCCATCATATGCCAATGACCATGAGCTGTATGCTTCCTGTCAATGTGCCTTTTCACTGTAGATGTCTGCGAACCTCGGAAATCGCAATAGGGACAGCTGAAGGGCCTTTCCCCAGTGTGGGTCCGCTGATGCTTGACTAGGTTATCCTTCTTGGGAAATATCTTGAAACACACCACACACTGATGGGTCTTATGGCCATCACTGTACAAGGGAGCAGGACCCTACAATAGAGAAATCACACCTTTAAGCTTTTTTAATCTTTGCATCTTTTTTTACGTCAAATCACTGATGAATTGTGAGATTCCACTCTTACATACAAAGAATAAACAATACCCATTGTTCAGTACACAATTCCATCTTAGATAAATGTGACAGGAAAGGGAGCTGTCTGTTTCTGCTATTTTCCTCTCCATGCACTGCAGAACTGAGTGAAGGTGCATGATATTTTACAGAAGACAACAATAAAAAAAAGACTTTCTTTTCAAGAATCAGTCTCAAGAGTCCTTTATGCCTGCGGTTCATCCTCTATGCTGGAGCTCCTGATAGACACACTGTTTGGGATGAGACTGTACTTGTACCTCTGTGTTTCTCTGGCAAAAAGCCTGTGCTTGTATCTAATGTGAGCATTGAGGTTGCCCTTCTGTGCTGTTCTATGAGGGCAATAGGGGCAACTATAGGGCTTCTCCCCTGTGTGAATTCTCATGTGTCCACGGAGAACGGAGGCTTTCTGAGTGGTGTAACCGCAGTATGGATGCTGACACACCCACATTCCATCCTGCCTCAAAGATGAGGTGTTTCCCTCTTCCTCACTGTTTCCTGTAGGGGGATTCCTCAGGGCCGACTCCTACCAAAGAGAAATAGCCATATTTTAGGGCCACTATGTTAACGGGTAGCACTGCACCCTCTGCCTCTTTTCCTGCCTCTCTATCAATCCAAAAACTTGAATAGCCTCAGCATTTGGTCAGCTGAATAGCTCTTACTATTCTCAAAAGTCATCTCATCCTTATCGGCTTACAAGATGAAATTCCTATGCTTTATTACCTAAAAGATACCACATAAATCTTATAATTCTATTGTCAAGTACCTTTTTGTGTTAAAAATTTATATATGTTTTTAAATACCATGCCTAAAAATAATCAAAACACTACACCTTTCTCAAAACCTAAAATTCCCCTCTATGTCTAGTATCATCTAGTTTCATAAAATATCACTTGTAACATCTTTTCATAATATTAATCTATGCAGCACATTACAAATATGGAAAGAATATGAGGGATAAAAGGCATACAAATGAAATAACAAACAAAATAAAATGCTAAAGGAAATTCTTTGAACATGAAACTTATTATCTCTACCACTCCTGTGTGCATCACAATGCCTCACTGCTTTATTTTTCAGGTCAATACTCAGTATCTACATGGATTAAGGACAATAATTGGCAGCTTTCCCTCTGTTTCACATAGGAACATAATACAGGTTGTGCAACATATATCACAAACAAAACAATATTTCAAAAGAGGAAAGAATATGGGACAAGAGGTGAGGAAAAACAGACAAAGTGAAAGAAAGAGACAGAAAGAGAGAGAGAAAGAGTACATTAGAAAAAGAAAGAATATGATGCAATTTTTGGTTTATGGACTAAATGCAAGCTAAAACTAGCTAATTGGTTAACAATTGATTTTTCATTTCTCTTTGATACTGGCTTGTCATAAAACTGTAATTTTCAGTTAATAAAAAAGGGCTAATACAGAAACAAAAGTGTGCAATTAAAAGAGAGAGAGACATAATTTTTAAAAAATAAAATTAAAAAAATATATAAATAAATAAATAAATAAATATGAATAATTACATTTTGAATTTTATGATATATATTTTTGTATGCTCCATAACTGTTAATACTAACACTTTTTTTTTTCTTTTTTTTTCTTTCTTTTTACAAAACACCCTTCGGCATCTGAAATTTTGAAAGACAAACAGAAAGCAATTTTCAGCACAATGTTGCACAATTATCAAAGACCTTATCCAATGTTTTTACAGAATTTACATAATTTCTCCATATAATATAGCTTTTCTTTTTCATTAAAAAAATTTGTACTTTCTTGTAAAAAATCTAAGAATATACATTCAAATATCCAAAAATACAGACAAACAAAATTATTTATTTATAAAAGAACACAAACTAAAATGTATAATCAGACACATACACCAACAGACTAACAGACACAACAGAATGACAAATAAAACACATTTTTGCATAATAACACACATGTACATGTCCTCGCAGACAGACAGACAGACAGACAGACAGACAGACAGACAGACACACACTCACTCACACACACACACACTCATACACACCACACGCACACGCACACGCACTCATATACACACACACACACACACACGCACACTTATATAAACATCTGGAAATGAAATGCTGAAAAGCATTTACTCTAAAACTGTCCATCTTTTGATTTCAATATCTACATCAAGTGATCACCATTTTCCTAAGATCACTGGGAAAATGTCTTTTCTTAGCAACCAAATACTTAAAAGAGTTTCCTTTGTAAATTAAAACTTTCTGCATTACTCTGATTACCAAACACTTTATTATTCATAAATTAAAAATATAATAGAAATAAGTCAAATTCTCCCTGCCTTAACAGGGCCTCATTCCTTTGTGATGTAATATTACACAACAGTCTAGACTCTGTGGCTAGGCCTAAGCTGTACACAGCCGGCTCATGTGCTGCGAGTCATAACACGTTTACTTGTCAAAGGCTGTTACATAAAGACTGCTATAGCTGTCACCAGTGACGAGGCCTGATTTATTTGTGATGTAATATCACAAATATCAATCAACAGTTTAGACTTTGTGGCTAAGCCTAAGCTGTGTACAACCAGCCCATCCAGTATGAGTCCTGACAT